ACTTCTTTTCAAAAATTTGTTTCTCAAAACGATTTGCCGGATTTGGACTCTTTGGTTCAGATTAAGAACCGTGACACAAATTAAGTCCGAACTGTAGCGCGAAGGCCTCACGCGGGCGCGTCTACAAAGCCCATGTAGCATCATGTTTGAGAGATATTTGTCATCGGTGGTCTATGAACGGATGGCCCCACCGACGGTGTGTGAACGGGTGGATTTGTCATCGACGGTCTATGAACGGATGGCCCCACCGACGGTCTGTGAACGGGTGGATTTGTCATCGATGGTCTATGAACGGATGGCCCCACTGACGGTCTGTGAACGGGTGGATTTGTCATCGATGGTCTATGAACGGATGGCCCCACTGACGGTCTGTGAACGGGTGGATTTGTCATCGATGGTCTATGAACGGATGGCCCCACTGACGGTCTGTGAACGGGTGGATTTGTCATCGATGGTCTATGAACGGATGGCCCCACTGACGGTCTGTGAACGGGTGGATTTGTCATCGATGGTCTATGAACGGATGGCCCCACTGACGGTCTGTGAACGGGTGGATTTGTCATCGATGGTCTATGAACGGATGGCCCCACTGACGGTCTGTGAACGGGTGGATTTGTCATCGATGGTCTATGAACGGATGGCCCCACTGACGGTCTGTGAACGGGTGGATTTGTCATCGATGGTCTATGAACGGATGGCCCCACTGACGGTCTGTGAACGGGTGGATTTGTCATCGATGGTCTATGAACGGATGGCCCCACTGACGGTCTGTGAACGGGTGGATTTGTCATCGATGGTCTATGAACGGATGGCCCCACTGACGGTCTGTGAACGGGTGGATTTGTCATCGATGGTCTATGAACGGATGGCCCCACTGACGGTCTGTGAACGGGTGGATTTGTCATCGATGGTCTATGAACGGATGGCCCCACTGACGGTCTGTGAACGGGTGGATTTGTCATCGATGGTCTATGAACGGATGGCCCCACTGACGGTCTGTGAACGGGTGGATTTGTCATCGATGGTCTATGAACGGATGGCCCCACTGACGGTCTGTGAACGGGTGGATTTGTCATCGATGGTCTATGAACGGATGGCCCCACTGACGGTCTGTGAACGGGTGGATTTGTCATCGATGGTCTATGAACGGATGGCCCCACTGACGGTCTGGTGTATGGGTGGATTTGTCTAATCGATTTTGGGTCGATTATTCCCTTGTTTTGTCTGGAATGTCATCACCCCATGTATTATGTAGGTGTTATTAAACATCCCAAGAAGATTTGAAAGACCAAGATTTGATTGATGAACTTGATTCATCCTATGTTTTGAACAAGTTATGATATATGTATTGTTTTGACAAGGACCTCGGGAATCATTCTTTTAACCCCTTTATTACTTATACCATTCACTGAGTATCCAAGCTCACCTTCTTCATATATATATGTAGATAACAAGCTAGAAGGTGGTGACGCCGAGATGTGTGTTTTGCAAGATGTTTTGGAATGCATGTTATGTCGGCAATCTTGAAGCTTATTTATTTTGAACATGTCGGCTTGAGAAGCCTTTTATCGAGATGTAGTATGTATTTTTTTTTGCTTGTATTCAAGTTGTAAAGCTATGTAAAGATGTATGCCATTTCATTTGACTTATGCACAGCTCTTATGGACTAATTAGATTTGTATATATTACTTCCGCATATGTTAGCCCCATATGTAATACTCTGATTGTGTGTGAACTTTGAAAGTTGGCCTTCGGTAATCTCGAATTACTGGCCATCACGACACCATTCTACTAGGGGCAGAATGGGGTCGTGACAGAATGGTATCAAAGCACGCGGTCCTTATAGTACGTTATTCATACACTTTGAGTCCTAAAGAGCATACGATGTCTCTTAGAATGATGTTAGGATTGCATCATGTTGCTTGCTACTTGACAAGGTGTGCATCATCTCGGCATGATCATTTATTACTTGCATGCATGTTTACTTGCTCATTTTGTTTAAGAGTCACATTTTGCATACCTCTAGCATCATGAGAAGGGGTAGACCTCCAGTTGGCCGAGATTATTCCGAGGACAAAACAGACAGATTAGAAAGATTGGTCGAAGGATTGGTCCGTGGGTTGAGACAACCTAGGCCACAAGACACAGGTACCACTTCCACTCAGACCGAGCAGACAGATGGCTGACATACAGTTCCACCTCCACCTCCTCCAGTACCACAAGTGCAGCCGCAGCCAGCTTTGTATGGAGACGACACCTTGACCTTGATCAAAGGATTCAAGAAGATGAAACCACCGAAGTTCCATGGAGGTATAGAGCCGATGAAAGAAGAAGCATGGGTTCTTGAGATGGAGAAGTTGTTTGAGGTTTTTCCCTGCACCGACGCCCAGAAGGTGTCATTGGCAGCATTCACATTGGAAGACGACGCTCGTAGGTGGTGGATGATGATCTGAGAAGGTCATCCAGACTTGACTTGGGCCAGATTTTTGGAGTTGTTTTATGACAAACACTTTCCCCTCAGTGTCCGAGATCGCAAGACCACATAATTCCAGATGTTGTCACAGGGTAGCAAAACAGTGGCTGAATATGATTGTGCTTTCACCGAGTTGGCAAGGTATGCACCTCACATGGTTAACGATGAATATAGGAAGGCTAGATAGTTTGAAAGTGGGCCTCGTGGATCAATTCAAGACCGGGTTAATTTGCTTAACATGCCGACGTATGCTGGAGTGTTAGATAAAGCCATCCTTGCAGAAGCCAACTTGAACAGAAGTCAGAGTTTAGGGGAGAATCAGAAAAAGAGGCAGACCTATAACAATCGCCAAGACCAACATGATGCCGAGAAGAAGACAAATGTGGACAGTTCCAATAACACGAATCAGGAAGGTGGCGCCAGGCCGACATGTACAAGTTGCGGGAGGCGACATTTTGGAGTTTGTCATCGGGCACCTGGAGCATGTTTTGAATGCGGTAAGATGGGTCATCGTATTAAGGATTGTCCCAAGGTAAAGGCTAGAAATGATAAGAAGAGATGAGAATCCAACATTCGGAATTGTTTTGGGGACAAGGTAAGTTAAGGTTGGAGACCAAACTTCTTTAAGGGGGGAAGGATGTAACAACCCATATTCATGTCTTAGTCATGTTCATGTGCATTTACATAACCTTGTCTTGTTAAGTTGCATTCATGAATCTTGTCTTGTTTTGCTTAAGTGTTGCTTGCATGCTTTGTTCCTTCCCTGCTATGTCAAGCCTAGGTCATGTTAAGCTTAGGTCATGTCAAGCCTAGGTCATGCCAAGCCTAGGTCACACCTTTGAACCTCTTACCCCTAGGACCATCTTGGAACCACTTTGGTTGACCTCCACCATCACCTAGGCATATTGGCCGAGATGTCATCATCTAGGCCGAGGTGTGAATCACCTAGGCCGAGATGTGCATCATCTGGGCCGAGATGTTATCATTTAGGTGTCCTAGATCCTTGATCTTCGCACCTAGTGATCTTGTTCCGGGACTGGAATGACCTAGACCGAGGTGTGGCACACTTAGGCCGAGGTGTGGCACAGCTAGGCCAAGTTTTATCCTTCCTAGCCGAGATCATTGAGACCTTACTTGCTGAAGCCTATGTCGTTAGCCGAGATCATTACCTGCCGGAGTGCCCATGTCATCTAGCTTGTTGTATACACTTTATCTTGCACTTGTCTTATCTTTCTATCACCTTTTGAGGAGAACCAACCCGGTAGTGCCATGTGCCCCAGTAGAGAGTTAAATCAGCCGATGGAGAGTGAAAACCTATCATTTCTATATTTTTGTTCTATGTAGAGAGAGAAACTCTAGGAAGAGGAAGAAGAGTTCTTGAGAGAGGAGTAGATTTCCAAGCTTGATCCCTAGAGATCGAGCCGTTAGATCCGTGTTTTAAGGTTAGATTCGTGATCTACTCTTGTTATTCTTTATGTTGATCTAATTGCATTGCATGATCTAGCATGTTTCATGAACCATGCATTTCTTTGAAGTTCGGTTTTAGAAAGAGAAAGTGATATTCATGTGTTCTTGAGGAAAAGCCATGTTTTGATCCGAAAGTTTGTATCAAGATCCATGTTTTCGTGATTGTTTTCATGTGATCTTCAAGTATGGGTACCAAGTCCATATTTTCAAACTCATAGCATGAAACCTCAGATTTTGTAATAACAAGTTATGATTTTAACATTCATGTTCTTCATGTTCTTCATGTCCTTCAAGGAGGAAACCCAGATTTTCAGGCTTCATTTCCCT